TAAGGCCAAATAGAAAATCCTGTTGCTGGCTTTTTTTTTATGTTTTCTCAAATTTTTTACAATAAGCCTCGACATTGTTTCAGTCGGCCACCGCACTCCAGTCTGGGCGACAGAGTGAGACTCCAACTCAAAAAAAAAAAGTAGTGCAGAGCAAAATGGGGGAGGCAAACTTATGTATGAACAAATATGTTAATTGCCATAAGAAGATATATACAAAGTGCAAGGTAATTTAAGTTAGGGAGCAATGAGCTGTGCTTTGAAAAAAATCAAAGACATCATAGATACTTTGTGTAATTTGAATGAATTACCATTACAAAAAGTGAAACCAGAAAGAAACGTCTTTTCATCTTTCAGTCAGCCTGATGTGATTAAAAAAAAAAAAAAAAATGAGGGACTCTACTGAGCCCTCAAGATCACTGGCTAGAGGAAAAATCATTTCTGGTTGTTTTTGTTTTTGTTTTTGAGTCAGAGCCTCACTCTGTCACCCTGGCTGGAGTGCAGTGGCACATTCTCGGATGCTGCAACCTCGACCTGCTAGGCTTAGGTGATTCTTCTGCCTCAGCCTTCCAAGTAGCTAGAACCACAGGCATGTACCACCACGCCTGGCTAATTTTTTGATTTGTTGTAGAGACAAGGTCTCACCGTGTTGCTCAGGCTGGTCTTGAATCCACCCCTGAGCTAAGGTAATCCTCTCACCTCTACCTCTCAAAGTGCTGGGATTACAGCCTTGAGCCATCTTGCCTGGCAAATCATTTCTTTTTAATTCTCTGGTTGAAGGTTCCAGAAATGATCCCAAGGCTTTTGGGGTGCTCCTTACATTTCTATCACTTGGATCAAAATTGTATATACCATTCTGAGGCTTAAGACTAAACAAAAGTCTTTGCTGACTAACCCAGTCTCAACTTAGTCTTTTATTTTAAATTTTCTATCACTCTATCATTTTTTTTTTTTTTTGAGTTGGAGTCTCACTCTGTCTCCCAGACTGGAGTGCAGTGGCCGCTCCCGGCCACCGCAGCCTCGAACTGCTGGGCTCCGGCGATCCTTCCACCTCAGCCTTCCGAGTAGCCGGAATTACAGGCATGCGCTACCACGCCCAGCTGATTTTTTGATTTATTGTAGAGATGAGGTCTCGCTGCCTAGGCGGGTCTCGAACCCGCGGGCTCAGGCAATCCACTCACCTCAGCCTCCCAAAGGTGCGGGATTACAGGCTGAGCCACCAAGCCCGGCGTGATATCAGTATTTTAAGGTAGGGGGCAACAAAGTCTCCAAGTTAAAAACTTGAAGTCTGGAGTTAGTCTACTCTAGGTTCAAATTCTGTATCCACCACTTACTAGATGTGAACTCCTGAGCAGTTACATTGATAAAATGTAGGTGCCAGTTATCAATCTATTGCTTTTCAACTCTGAATCCATCTTTTACTGTCCTGTTTATGATGCTAGAAAATTTTCCCATGGCAGTTATTGTTCAGCTTTGTCCGTACAGGGACTAGAGGAGGGACAATGGAGAAAGAGAAGTATTTCTTTCTTTTTTTTTTTTTTTGAGTCAGAGTTCCACTCTGTCACCCAGGCATACTCACAGTCACCGCAGCCTCGACTTGCTGGGCTCAAGTGATCCTTCTGCCTCAGCCTTCCAAGTAGCTGAAACCACAGGCACATGCCACCATGCCCAGCTAATTTTTTTTTTTTTAATTGCAGAGACGAGGTCTCTCCAAGTTGCCCAGGCTGGTCTTGAACCTCTGGGCTCAGGTGATCCTCTCACCTCGGCCTCTCAAAGTGCTGGGATTACAAGCTTGAGCCACCGCACACAGCCAAGAGGGGTATTCTTTCCTGATTCTGGTGTGTTCTTTGCTGATTGCTCCTGTGACATGTAAGGTCTAGTGGGACACTCGGTGGCACTCAACCTAAGGAGTTCTAGCATCAATACTCCCCCAAACAGTTTCCCAATGAATTACATACTATAGCATCTCCCCATAGGTGGCTTCCCATGGCACCCCAAAGGGTACCTTCCCAGTAAGTTCCTCTGACATGAGTTCTCCCACTAGATAGACTTCACAGAGAGAGACTTTCTAGTGAGTTTTGCTGACATGACATCTTAGTGAATTTCTCAAACATACATGGCTGTGCCTTCTCCACAAAGTCTAGATATGGTCCTTAGTAGGAGTAGAACTTTTATAGGTTTGGTCTTTCCTTAGTGCTTTGTGTCAGCTCTAGCAGCAGTGGTTGCTATCTACTATCTCTTTACCCCTGAGTAACTTCCTGTTGTAATTAATAATATTAAATGTTCCTATTCAAATTGTCACTTGGTTTCTGTCTTCTAATTGTACTTTGCTATGTAGCATTTATAAGTAGTACTTTTCTATAAGGTTGTTCTGAAGATTAAATGGGATAATACATGTGAAGTGTTTAGAATAAACATCTGCCATAGAATAACTACTTAATCAGTGTTGATACTATTGTCATCATCATCATCGTCATCGATGTCACTACCACTACCTAGGAGTGACATTTCTACATTTTGTCCACAGGATGTTTCGTCTTAACTCACTTTCTGCCTTGGCAGAACTGGCTGTGGGCTCTCGATGGTACCATGGAGGATCACAGCCCACCCAGCTCAGGCGAAGACTAATGATGGTGGCTTTTCTGGGAGCATCTGCAGTAACTGCAAGTTCTGGTCTTTTGTGGAAGAGGTGAGTATTATCTGACCATCTTTTTATTGCAAGTATTTTTATTCTTCCAATATCTCTGTTATCAGAAAACGGTCAGTTCTGGCTTAACTTTGGGTCAAAATTGTTTGCCCTAATTATTTGGCATTGTTAATATTTGTCTATGAAATATGAGTTTCAAACAATTCATCTATCATGCCAAGGCAATAAATAGGAAACATTGTACTTTCAGGCACAGTGGCTCACACCTGTAATCCCAGCTACTCAGGAGGCTGAGGCCGAGGGATTGCTTTAATCCAGGAGTTTGAGACCAGCCAGGTCAACATAGTAAGACCAATAGATATATATTTTTATTAAATAAAAAAACAAATAAATAGGGCTAGGCATGGTCACTCAAGCCTGTCATCGCAACACTGTGGGAGGCCAAGCTAAGAGGATTGTTTGAGCCCAGGAGTTTGAGACCAGCCTGGGCAATATAGTGAGACCTCATCTCTACAGAAGATCAAAAAATTAGTCAGGCTTAGTAGCGCTTGCTTGTAGTCCCAGCTACTCAGGAGACTGAGGCGGAGCGATCACCTGAGCCCAAGATGTCCAGGATGTGGTGAGCCATGATCATGCCACTACTCCAGCCTGGGCAACATAGTGAGACTCTGATTCAAAAAATAAACAATAAAAAGAAAGAAACACTGTGCTTCAAGATTTGCCTGTCTCTTCTGCTGAACATTTTAAATAATGGTGTAGAGATGGTAGCAGTAGTTTCAGATAATGATGCCTTCTGAGACCTAAAATTTTGGTGACTATATGAAATTAACTAATGAACCTTGTTACTTTTGTGTCACCTGTTAGTTTCTTTTTTTTTTTTACTAGTTATTCATATTTCACTGGAGGAAGATAACATAGTGAGCCGCAGTCTTCTTTTAAAATATATAGGTACTATAAAACAGAACAAAATCATGAATTTCGCTGCAACCTGGATGGAACTAGAGTCTATAATACTGAGTGACCTCTCACAGAAACAAAGATCCGAATATCACATGTTCTCACTCATGTAATGAACCTTGAACATCCAATGCAATACTATAAGAAAATGACTGACGGTACTGGGAAACTATGGGGGGGAAGGGGGATGGGATTAACAGTAGCAAATATCTGTCGGGGGATGGGAAAACACCTCTTATCAACAGGGTGCCTGAATGAAACGTAATTGTACACCTAACCCTTAACTGTACCCCACAAAACCATAATAAAAAATACTGATTAATAAAAAAATAAATAAATAAAATAAAATGTATAGGTACTCTTTATCTGCCTCTGTCACTACCTTTTTTTTATCTTTGTCTTGGATCACTCTGTCTTAAAGTTGCTATCATTATTTTTGGCCTCCTCAAAAGATACTTCTTTAATTTGTTTTTAAAAATCAATTCTGTTTAAGAATAATATGTGTAAAATAAATTGCAGCCATTTAAAATATACAGTTCAATAAGTTTTGACAATATATATGTAATTTTGTCACCACCTCCAAATCAAGATTGCGAACATTTCCCTAAACTCATAAAGTCTCTTCATGCTTTTTCCCATTCTTGCACTACCCACTGTTCCAGGCATCCACTGATATAATTTTCTTTTTTTGAGTTGGAGTCTCACTCTGTCACCCAGGCTGTAGTGCAGTGGCACACTCATGGCCACCCCAGCATTGACCTGCTGGGCTGCGGCGATCCTTC